CAAGGCCAGACTATCAGCCATTAGTAGATAATAAAAGAATAATAGAGAAATTACAGGAAAGTATAACACCAATGGCACATGGCATTACACAAGAACCAGCACAAGATAGGAAGCAAACTCGGAAGCCAAGCATAGCAGGTGAACTACTTAATCTAAATCTAGTAATCATTTTTATTTCCTAAGATCCTGAATTTAGTGGAGCTTTAAAACCTCTTTTATTGGCCAGAAGATTGACTGAATCAGATCTGCAAGTGAATGTCAAAAAAGAAGAAATCAAAAAGATTACTTGTCCTGATAATGACCTCATTGGAAGAGATTGGTACTCATTTGGTTTACAGAAAGAAATAGACTTGGACACACTCAATCAAATCAAAGAAGATAATAGTACCCTACGAGACAGAAAGTCTGATCTCCTTCATCTTCTGATTGAGCCAAAGTATCAAATTCGCTATGAAGATATCGTGTATTTTCATTTTAAAAATGATCAGAGTCAATTTATCAAGCGTGTGCTAGACTATCTTGTTGATCAAAGAAGGACAGGTGACTTACTCTATTTTTTACTTATTATTTCTTCTTCTTCTTCTTCTTATTATTATTATACCCTATAACACTTTAATTTGGTAGAGCGATTGGCGGTTTGCAAGCAAAATTGCCAATATTAAAACCGCCAATCATTAATGCGCATGCTCAGTAATGCATGTGTACACAAGAATTGCCAAATTAAAAACCACCAATTACAATTTTACAGCAAAATCGCCAAAATAAAGTGCTATACGGTATTATTGATATTATTATTATTATTGAATTTATAGAGCCATATAATCCCAAATATAAGAAAGACAATAAGCCACCAAAGTACACAGAACGCCCATGGCAAGCTATTTATGCAAAAAGATCAAAAGTTCAACCAGCTCCTGGTCCAAGACAAGAACTTAGTACTAGAAACTATCAAGATAAATTTTATGATACACTTTGGTATGAAGAAAAAGAACACACAAAAAAACTTCATAACAAGTAAGTATTTGTATTGTTGAAAGTAGCCCACAGCCGCAGTTTAGTAGCATACATGTAAGTCTCCTGGTCTGACATGACATCTATTGTAAACCCAAATAATTTAACTTCCTTTACATGTATGTTTTTGAAGTGGGTATATTTATATTAATGACCATTAATTTTAACAATTTTGAAAACTGACATAACCATATGTGTATTGACAATCATAGTTACAGCCATTAACTTTATGAAATTGGGCCAAAAGTTAAATTAGTTAAATTGGATAGTAATTATTAATGGGTTACAGTATGGCTTAAGTCAAAGATTTATATAAACTACACATCAATGGTGTTTTGACTGCTTTATAATGATGTGTAGGCATGCCATAGTTGTTGTGGTTTTGTTTAATTTGTTTGTTTTTTATGCAATATGAAATTTATAGCACTAGTTTATTTGATACACCCCAAAAACATTTCCTTTTTATACACATAGGTGCAGTGGAGTTTACGAATTGTTTGTCACTGAT